TACGGTTTTATGTATAACTCCTCTCTCCTTATATACTGTATATGTATATATAAACGTAGCACTTATGTGACAGCTTTACTTATGTAGGACTCGTGCACGCAGTACGGGGAAGTATATATATATATATATATATATATATATATATATACATATATATGTGTATGCATCGTCCTGGAACCCCTCGGCGTCGCGAATCGCGCCGAGCTGGAAGAGCGGTCAAATTTCCCGCGCGAGCAGACTGGAAAGCGTCGAACAGAAAAGTGAAGCCTTGCTAGTTCTTTTTTTTTGGGACCTATAGAATTGAGTGTGACGGTAGGTTAGGTTATATATATATGGATACGGGTAGTACGAAGAGGCTCAAGGCAGTTTCAAGCAGGCACAAGAAGTCCCAGCTCGCGGGTGGCCCCAGGGTCACGATTGGTCTTGGGTTTTCCGTGAAAACGCTTAAACTTCCGGTGGCTCCGAAGGAAACGTCGAAGTATGGTTTTTCCATGGTAGTCATACTCTCTCTCTCTCTCTCTCTCTCGCTCTCTTAAACGTGTGCAACAGACAAACGCTATGTTTCACAAAGTAGTCGAGAGCCACGCGGTTACGCTGGGCCAAGACTCCCCGCTGCGCGGCTAAAGCCATAGACTTATGCCGAGGTGTCCTTCTACCGTCGTTACAGGAAGCTACTTACTATGATATCGACCTCGGTGCGACGATTCCCCATTGAATCATCGTCAAAACCCATAAAGTCATCGCGGGTGATGGGAAATCCGTATTAAACGACTAATTCTCCCTCGTATACCGTTTCACACTAATCCTGCCTACATCGAGTCGTATAACTTAAAATTACGCTGATATAAAATACAATAGATAATTGGTACAAGCCCGCACAGGTTTGGTCTACATATAAATAACATTTTCACGAAACAAGGTGGTTTTCGGAGGAGCGTCAAATAAACCCATTAAAGGTCATAAATTCAATAATAATAGTAACAGCAAAAATATAAAAAAAAGGGAATCTATCGCCCCCAATGCAACTATCCTGCCCCCGTCCCTCCTCAGGCTTATCCATCGTTCCTTTATATCCACTCGACATGTTCGGTCCTAGTCGGTTTAAGGCCGCCCGTCGCGAATGTAAAATCGCGTCCACCACTGAAATTGGAGAAGCTGTTTCGTAATGGATGGACGGGTGGACGGCTGGACGGCTGAACGAACGGACGTACAGACGAGCGAACGGATGGGACGGACGGACGGGGATATAGCGGTCCGCGGGCAGCAGTGCCAGGATAGGCGAGGTCTCGCTTTCTCCGTCGCGAGTTAACTCAGGCCTCGGGGCCGCGGTCGGTCGCCGCGTCTGCAGCTATGTATTTACACCGGGGTGGGTTCTGGTCGGTACCTAGTACATTACATAGAGCCAGGGGTGTATAGAGGGTGGTGGAAGAAGGGCGGGACGGGGAGGGGGGGGGTGAAACGAAGCGGAGTGCGAGAGGGTGAAGGGCGCGAAGGACGGTCGACGAGGTGAGGAGGGGGGCCAGGGGAGCGAGAGAGGTTAGGAGACAGCTGCAGGCCATGCGAGGGTCCGCCGACCAGGCCTGGCCGTTTACCGCGGAATACACAGAGAGACCCTCCTGCCCTTCTCCGTCTCTCTCGATTCCACGGCTGAATCCTCTATACCTCGTTCCAGGCTGTCTCTCTCGCTCTGCCTCGTCGCCACTTCGACCATCGATCCTCCCCTTACTTCACCCAGCCACCAAACTCCCTCATCCTCTGAGCCCACTAGTCGGTCCCTCCGCCACGCTGCTACGTCGTTTCACCCACCGCCTCCGCAACCGTCTCTCTCGCTCCTTCCTTCGCTCTCTCTCTCTCTCTCACTCTCTCTCTCTTGTTCTCTCTCGCACGCCGTGACACTCCGATCCGTGCGTCCTAGTCATCGTAGCCGTCGTCGTCGTCGTCGTAGTTCTCTCTCCCCACCTCCTCCCTTGCGAACCCCGTAGTCCTCTAGTCACTGCCGTCACTCCCTCGTAACCCACCTTCTTCCCCCCCCCCCGCCTTCTCCCTCGCCCCTCCCGTCCTTTCGCCCCGGACCTCGCCTCACCCTTCGTCCGTCCGCCCATCCGTCCCTAGGAGCGTTCGTCCGACCCGAACCCTTGGCGCCCCTTTGCTCTTAGCCGCGAACCCGCGACGGGGGCGCTCAACGAGCTACGAGCAAATTCCCGTAACTCGCGCTCCGGTAAATTTCCACGGAGACCCCATCCGAGAGACCGAGTCCTGTTCTCGTACCTCTCTCGTGCTCTCCCTAGCTACCTCTCTCTCTCTCGCTCGCTCTCTCCTTCTCGATTCCCTTTCTTTCCTTTTCCTGTGCCACGCTCACCGCTCGGCCCCTCTCTCTCACTCTCTCTCGCTCTCGGGGATTTCTTAGAGTGATTACGGGGAGGTGTGCGTGCTCGCGGGGTGGCTGCCTGGATCGGTTGGTTATCGATCACCCTCTCTCACTTTCTCACCCGACGTCCTCTCGCTCTGTTTGGCCCTGTTATTTCTCTTTTTTTGCCCCCCTCCTCTCCTCGACTACCCACCATTTCGCCGATGGGAAATTTGGGTCTTCGCTCGCGGGAACACGGGGGCACGCAACGTACTCGGCCGTCACCGAGCATGGAAGGGCCCAGGGTGGCACGGGGAGGGAGGAAACGTAAAACGAGGGGTCCGCGGTGCCGGCTGCAATGGCAGATTTTTCGCTTCGCGCCCTCGTAAGAGAGAGAAAGAGAGAGAGAGAGAGAGAGGGGGGGAGAGAGAGAGAGAGAAATAGAGACAGGGAGACAATGCGAGAGAACGTATAAAAAAGAAACAAGAGAAAGAAACTGTTCGAAGAGTTCGAACTGTTCGTGTTTCTTAATCGTAACGCTTCCCCGAGAGTTTAAAGAGTTTCTCTAGGTTTGAAGTTAAGCGCGCGTCACTGGCACCACAGTCGTCCACCCGATGACGTAGACGTTTCGTGGGAATTCTTTTGTTGCGCGCGACGTTCCTCGTGCCGGTTGCTCGTGGTTAATAATAATATAAATACTGGACGCAGCAATTAAGTCACGGCGGAGCATCCAGAGTGGCAACAATGTTATTCAATGGAAAACTAACATCAAAATTTTGACCGCTGGTGTTTATCGTAAAAAATCTTACAGGACTCCCCACCAGAAACTATTGTCGGCGACACTGATTACGTTTTATCATGAAGAAAGCGATAGCGGGGTGAGTCTCGGGACGGCAAAATAACCGTGAAAATAATTACATGGGAGAGCGAGCGAGACAGACGTACCATGTATACAACGAGGATACGGCCGTTGAGCCATGATTCGACGAGAGAGAGAGAGAGACAGGTTTCAGCGCATCTGGTTTTTCGGGTTTCCGTTTATAACAACGTGTACGCGGCTTTCGCCATGAAAGTTGCTACGAGGCAGCCAGAACGCCCGTCGTCCCTGTAAGCGTCAATTCGATCGAGACGCGACGCTTACCGCCGGCATTTCGCGTGACGCGTAGATTATAATAAGCAGACGGACGACGCGGCGTTCCGAGGCGCCTCCTGCTGTACTTGACATACCGCTAGCCAATGTAGACTCTGTCGTGTCTCGACCAAGTCGCGCCATGACCTTCTCTCTCTGTCTCTTTTTTTGTCTTTGTCTCTCTCTCTCTCTCTCTCTCTCTCTCTCTCTCACACACACACACACACCCTCCCTCTCTCTTCTTTCGCACAAGACTCCACCTCGAGAGGTGTACAACCAAGTTACGCACGTATAACGTCGTCCCGACGTTCGTTAGCCCTGTCCTGTCTGCCTCTCCTTATATTTGCCCTGAAGTTTCGCGTCGCAAAGGAACCCACTCGGACGGAGGAAGACTCGACGCTAAATTAATTACAGAGAATTGGAGTGTTTCCGTACCGAGGACATTCGCGTCAGTATTTCGCGGAAGACTCTCCGACGTATCCTTGACTACGATCGCCAGTTCGTGTTGCTGCTCTACTCTTCGTTCTTTTTTTACTTTTTTTTTCACTCCCCACGCCACTCTTCCTTTTGCTCCTTCGCTCCTGAGTCGTCGACTTTTTTGATGCTAGCGTGAATTACGTACTATATATGTGCTTGTGTATGTATATTTATGCATATATAGATATATATAGTTAGTCGCAGTGTGTACTTATGTAGGTATGACTTACAAAGGACCTTGATCTTGAGCGAGTTGAAAGAAGTTGGAAGTTCAGTAAGAAGAAGGAGGAGCGTAAGCAAGAGACGGAAGCTATATACCTAGGTCGTATCGTGGAGAAAAGACGGCGAGGAAGGTAGTAGGATTGATGGTGGTAAAAGGAGTACCAGAAACGAAATACAATCTGAACTTAACCCACATATAAAGTCGGCGTTATCGCGCGCGCGTTCTTCAGCTATAAACAAGGCGCGCATGGCGGCGATGGCAATGACAATGACAATGACAATGACAATGACAATGACAATGACAATGACACTATAGATCCTAACAAACAACGGAGTACGTAGTACCCGGCCCTGTGTTCAAAGCCGTGTTAAAGGAGTCACGTGAGCACCTAGAAAAAAAAGGGTATTCGGGAATTTTCGGATAAATGACTTTCCGGGAAATATTCCCAACGACCGATCGTTGGGGTTCGGTGCGGCGCGGCGTGGTTCGTTGGGTTGGTACGTCGAAGGGAGGACCAAGGGGTGACCGGGAGGGCGGGAGGAAGAAGCGCGTGGTGAGGAATGGTGTGGCGACCAGGGGCGAGGGGAGGGACAGTTCGGTGACGCAGGAGAGGGGAGGCGATGGCGGCAATGAGGACGAGCGGCAGGGAGGCACGAAGGGAAGCGAACGAGCGAATCGGAGAATGAGTGCGAGAGAGAGAGAGGAGCGTATCGGCCTGGGCATGGGTCGGGCAGTCGGTACGAGAGAGAGGTAGATAAAGGGAGTGCGAGCGAAGCAGCCAGTCAGGCAGGCAGCGTGAGACGGGGGAGGAGAAGACGGCGTCGCGAGTCCGCGGAAAGCCGGCGTCCACCGCCACAGTTGAGCGTCGCGATTCGTCGCGAAAGCATCGTGTTAAAGGGCATACAGCTCTTAACCGTGTACACCGTTTTAACGTTTAACGTTCAACGTTCGTAGAGGAGGCGGCTATCGCGAGCACCATTAAGTGAAGTTCGTGCGGGAATAGTAAAAGGTCGTGGAGAAGATCGGGTGGCTTCGTGTTTGCACGAATCGCGACAAAGTCGAAGCGATTAGACGACGACGACTTTAGTCGAGGTCGATCTACCGCGAAGGACGTACGCACGCGCTCGAGATCTGTACGCGTTCTGATATTTGCACGTTTGACCATCTGAAAAACAAGGAGATCCGGAACGACGAGAAGAGAGAGAGAAGGAGAAGAAAGACACAGAGACAGAAAGAGGGAGCGACAGGTCACCTAGTGGATATTGACTCACGGAGGGAGAAATAATCACAGAAAACAGAGAGAGGTAGAAACAGTGAGAGAGAAAGGTGAGGTTTTTGGATGTACCAGTGAACGGCTAGCGGTAACGAATACGAGGAGCGAAGAGGAACACGACGAGGGCTATAATCGGACGAGCAAAACAATCGCACGTCCTTCCTACGCGTCCACAGCGACAGTGTCACGAAATTGGGTGAAGTGAATCGACAGTGAGAATCGATCGTGACTGCCTTTCTAACGGTTGTTATTCGAGGGTCTTGGAAGACAATTGGGAAAAGCAAGTGATCGGGAGACACTACCTACCGAAAGGGAAACTATCGAAGGTTGTTGTGACTTATTTCGAAAAATTCGGTGCTGAAGCTTTTGCCACTGACGATTGCTGTACGTTCGAAATTGTCTACTTCGTTCGTGTTGTTGCTTGGCGAACGTGACGTTGAAGAATACAGATCGAGCCGCGAACGACGTTGTTATTTAAAAGAGACAGTACGAGAGGAAGGAAGGATCTAAGGAAAACAAATAACGTGTGCCTCCTCGTGGTGTCGTAATAATATTGTTTCCCGCGCGCACTGCGGATTGGCTGCGGCTACGAAGGCAGAGCTGTTTTACGGGCGAGCGAGTGGGGGGAGTTGTTTCATTCATAAAAAAGTTCTTTATTACTGTGAGCGCATGTGCTATTCAACGGCAGAACTCCTCCTTCACCTACCGTAACACGCGTTACACCGTATTTACTACGAGGCGACGTGAATTATCATCGCGCGTCTCCACGAGCAACAGATCTCAACCAGCAAGTCGGACATTTTATACGAGCGATCAAATTATACTCGGTTGCGCGTATGTTCTCTCGCGATTTCGATTCTGTACGGATAAAGTACGAAACCCAGAGAAACGTGTTTACTTCTCTTCGTCGAATCTTAAGGATCGTGCGAATCAGGTTGGAAATATCTGAGCGTTACATCGTCGTGTTTGCAAGATAGTCGAACGAGTCATCGTGATCGACGCGACATAGTGCTTCCCGAGTGTCTTTCACTCTCCGGTGAACGTTAAACGGGGAAATCGTGAAGGCATAATTCTGGAATTCCCGTGGTACAACGAACTGGCCTCCGCCGCCGCCGCAGCCGTCGTCGCCGCGGGGGACGTGAACCTCGTTCGCGAGACGGAAGGATACTCGATAAAGGCGGCATATCGAACCCCTTTCAAAATAGATCGAAAGGGGAGCGACGATTCAGCCGAGGACGGGCTAAGGGAGGATTTTCGCGAAGGCAGCAAGGACTATAGAAGCAACATGAGGGGCGAGTCTACGCGACCGGGAAAGCGGCCACTTAGGGCACTTTCTGCTTCAGAAAAGATGGACGCTATTCAGAGGGTTCACGAGGGTGAAAGTAAAGCATCGGTGGCAAGAGATATCGGGGTGCCGGAGTCCACTTTGCGAGGATGGTGTAAATCTGAGCACAAGATTCGGGGAATGGCGCGAAATTCCTCTACTCCAGATAGCGAGGCACATTCGCCGGCATCCTCTTCCGGTACCAATATGGCCGCTGCTCTCGCTTCCGCCACGGCCAATCTATCTAGCGAGGACGAGGGACCTTCGACCAAGAAACTGAAGATGGATCATCTAAGTGCAGGTTCATCTTATGGCGCCAGTGATAACGTCGAGAACGAGGGCAAGCTCGATGCCAATGCCAAGATTGATTATGTCAGTCTGATGACCAGTATGGCCGGCATGAGACCTGAGAATAGCTCGCTTTTGCTACAACAACTTGGATTATTGTCAGGAGCCACTGGTACCCTTGCGAAAAATTTACTCAACGTACCGGTCAGTTTGGCGCACAGCAGCACAGTTGGTCTAGTCGAGAATGGACTGCAGTATACCAAGAGTAACAAAAGACATAGTATTTCTGCCATTGCTCCAGCGCAAATGGATTCTGTAGCAAAGTCCTGCACGAGGAAGAGTCTGCCACCTGCTGCGGAGGCACCCTGCACTCCAGTGCCAGCCTCACCAAGGAAGACCAATGAGAACATGCAGCATTTAGCCAAAGCGAAGAAGGACAATGGCAGTAATAGAAAAGTGGATGAGGCACTCTGGCTATGGTTGACACAGCAGCAACAACTTCTTGGACAACAATCAGCAACGTTTAATCCTAGTAATCAACAGGATGGTTCGTGGTTTTGGCAGTGGTACAAGCAGTGCAGCTTCCCTCTGGTTACACCTGCACCCATGACACCTACACCAGTTACCAAGAAGTCACCTAGCAAGACCAGAGCTTTACTGGATAATGTCCTGTGCAATAACAATAATGAAAATGTCAAACGTAGTCTTAATATGGATGACGAAGAGGCTGACTCTGGGGATATACCAGCAAGCACCGAAGAAGCTATCGAGCATGGAGAAAAGTTCTTTAAGTGGTTGGACAAATGCTCGGACCCAGCAGTGACGCGTTTGCAAATAATGCAATTCAAATACCTCCTGGACAATCTAAAGGCGTGTAGGAAGAAGTCTTCTAGTTTAAAGCAGAGCAGAAAGTAGGCAAGGTGCTGTGATGCTAAATAATGATTCGAGGCACATCGAAAGGGGGCTCTAGGCAATTTTGGACTATATTAGTCTGAGCTCTTTTTCTTTGAACGTTTTTGTCTAATCTACTTTTTCGTTGGATAAGATAATTAGCTGACCAGAGGGATCACAAACTTTGATGAGACTCGGCTTCTTATGCACCATAAGAATTGGACCGAACTGTAGTTACCTTGATATAAGATGGGCCGAATCAAAATAGGTCGTATGGTTTTTAAACATTGTACATAAGAGGTTATACCAAATTCTTCAAACAGTTGTAATTAAGATTAAGTCACCGGTAGAGATTTATTATAATTCCATTACTCGTTAGCGTAGATACGTGTGCAGGGGCTTGAGAAGGAAGAGGCGTTCTTACAGGAAAGGTGTCTAGAATTTATGAAGCTGCTTCGCACCATAGAATTTAGTCAAGCCAGAGAGTGAGATGGTGAGAATTAGTAGTCGCAAATCAGGACGCACAATAACAGGGCGTCACTGATCGGTTATCCAGTTTGCAATGGTACTCATTAATTTACATAATATAACAATACAATAAATTCTACATGCCATAAACTCTCAGATTATGTCATTCCGCAAGGGAGATTTTCCAAACGCGCTTCGTAATTCATTATTCTTTTTCAATTAACTATCAATTATCATTAATCCCTTGTGGTTTAATTCTACCAAACAAGAATGCACCCCTGGACTCTACTACGATTCGTATGTAACACAATCATTCAGTATTCATTGAGCTCGTGTCTTTGTTTCAAGGACTTATTAATTAAACAAAAAGAAAGTATTTAAAAACCGCAGTTAATAACTACTTACCATAACGAGTGCTTTCTTCGGAGGTTTGTAAACCACAAAGTCGCTCACAAACTTGGCGCATCCCTGCCATGTGTACAACTCCGGATATGGCAATGTAGTTCGTCTTATGGTAGTGGAGACGAATTTCTGTCCAAAAGATAAAGTTCACGTTACACTTTCCTCCGCCTACTTTGCTTCAACAAACGAAGCAAAAAAAAATATCATATCCCTCATATAATTGAGTTACTTTCTTCCCTTTCAACTAAGTTAAAACCAAGCAGATGCACAAAAAAGGTGTCGCATCACCGATCCTCCAATACATTTCATCAAATGTGATGATCGCCGTCTATCAATAAAATTATAATTGTTAAAACAAAGGAAATCATGTAAATTTACAACTTATTTGTATGCTAATGACTTGCGCGTACTCGCAGGTACACGATACAAAAATAGGAAAGTGTAAGAGGGGAGAAACATCTCTGCTTTCTGGCTCGATGTGCCAAAACTTCTCGCTGAATATTTTCCTTGGCTAATCGATCGCACATGAAAATAACCCTAGGGTACTTTCGTGTTAGCGCTACACTACAATTTCGTAATAGTACTATGTTCGGACGGCTATGGCTACTGCAAGAACAACCTACTGTCATTAAGTTTAACAAGTACTCAGTGTAGTGAAACGCACGAGGAACTCGAAAAAGATGCGCTCTCGTGGCGTTCCGAGAAACGTGGTTAAAGTATATTTGTGAGAAAAGAATGAATGGAAATGCAAACCAAAGGGATAGAAAAGCTGCCGACAGGACAGCCTGTAAATAAGACTGTGACTGTGCACTTAAAACTCCAAGTGCATACCGTGTATTATAGTACGTCTAAGGCATGTACGAATAAATGTATAGCGAAGTTTATTTTTATTATTTAGAAGCATAGAGGAGGACAAAATTGAATGTACTAGAGAAGGAAAAAAAGGATTCCTATCGCAGGGTTATATATTTCCATTAGTTAAATTAAAAATTATCTACCTATAGACCTATTCGAGAAGACATTCCTTGTTACCTTTACATACCTAACGATTCGCAAATTTTAATAATAATATCGATTATTTTATTTATGTTTCCTTTTAATTTTTATATGAAGAATGCCTTTGTACGATGTGAAAGTCGAAAGTATTTATCAAAGAATACATTGAAGAAATAAAATCCAATGATTATTCTTTCTTTCTTGAACCTCATATTAATCCTGTCAGTCATTCATTAAATTAATAACTTGCTCCCTTAAGGACTTAACAAATAAATAAAATTTAAAAAAACATACTAATTCTTTTTACCGTCGACAAGCACCTAATTAAGTTTTATAATATTTTCATAAATTTGTAACGGTCAACGGCCGTTATTTTATTAACGTTATTATACCTGAATACCGCTCTCGTTCTCGCACACCATGAGTAAAGGCTTTCTGTCCCTGTAGATGGTATGGTACTGTTTTCTAAAGTTTTCTGCATACCACAGCAGGAGTCTTTCCTTATTATTATTTTCCTTATAGCTCACAGGTAACTCCTCCTCAACAACGCTATCGAGTATAATGTCCTCGGTCGGCCAGCAAAGTCTTATCAGGCCCAATTCACGTTCTACCCTTTTTAGCATTTCTTGAGAAATTGCTAAGCGCGTCAAAATCACTTGCTTCGGGCTCTCATCCTCTGGTACGTATTCTACTTCCTCGAAACCCTCGTCAGATGCTCCGTTATCCATTGTCCTCTTGTAACAGGTTCTCGTGGTAACTCTCCGAACGATATATTATCTAGATCAGCACAGCTTGTCCTTTGGCCGTGACAGATTTAACTGTGCGACACTTTTGATCTATTCAGTGCTGCAATCAGTGTGTAAACAATCTTTATTACCATGGCAATCACGTATTCGTATCACAACTCATAGAACTGTGTGCCGTAATATTCTGACAGATGGCAGCATATTTCTGAACATAGGAGCAGAGTGAATACACCTTGGTGCATACCTACTAATTCATTTATCTGGACAGTTTAGCCACTGAGTACTAAAGTACCGACAAGGATTCAAACCTATTAACAGGTCTGCATTTTAATTCATGTATAATCGATACGATTGGGCATTGCATTCTTTTTATTAATAAAAGTTTTCCGATACACATCATTGGTACAAAACATACACGTCGTTAGAAGAACAAAAATACATACAAGCAGCGAATGTTACTTTGCATGAAATATATATATATATATATTTCATTTATAATCTATAAATATAATAAATTGCCTTTACTTTATATAGTACAACAAAATCAGCGGAACAAAGAATTCTTTCTTGCTATGTGAATTTTGAATTTCGTTTAACCGTAGCTTCAATAAGTTATCGAAAAAAAGAGCCTCCCCTCCCTCTTCTCCGAAGGATAGTACCATTTTTTATATCATCCTCTTATCAATTTTTCACATTATAACATTCACGCAACTATCCAACAGATGTCTTCGCATATTTCAATCACTCTAGAATCCTTTTTCTTTCTTTCTTCCTTGTATCATAGCACGTGCGTCGATTCACTTCTAATAATCATCCTGGCGCGAATATCGCTTCCAGGAGATGCTCGAACGCGTCTTTGAATTCATCCTTGAAATCATTCGTGGCTTTACTTCGCATCTTGAGGGTCCTGCCTCCATTTTTGGGCTGCTTCGTGTCTGGCATCTGGTACCAACTGAGACCTCATACCACCTAAGACGTTATTGGTAGCTTCTGTCGCAAGAATGATGGGTTTTACGACCGTTGGAGGTATTTGTCTCAGTACACCTCCCACGGCTCCGGAGACGCCCTTCTGCTCGTGTTCCTCGCTCGCAACGCGTACCAGCTGGTTCGCCGTCTCGCCCAATCCCTAAGAGAGAATGACATTCGATACGAGTCTGGTGAATTGTCCTATCAAATTGTTTTGTGTAATAAGACTATACTAACCTCTTTCACCAGCATATAAGCATTGGCCATTCCCTCTCGAATATCCAGAGGTTGGCTGTAACGCTTTCGACGACCTTTCTGACCTTTATTCTTATTATGTTTTACACTAGGTCCTGGACTGACCATGTCGTATGCCGTTTCAGCAGTACTCTGGATGGCATGGACCAGCCTTGACGTTAATTCTAATGCCGCCATTGCCGTGGAAGTTGTGAAGCTATTAGCACCGCGTTGAAGACCACGCACAATCCTACCGTCCTTTTGATACTGCTCTATGGGTAACCAGAACAGATCACGGATTCCTTGGACTGCAATCGAATCAATCGAGTACGAGGAATCTGATGAACTTTCTGAAGTTTATGATTATAATGTTTTAATGATACTTACATAATTGTACCAGAGAGTGCATGGGACCCACGCCCCCTAGTAAACTTGGCAATTGATTTTTCTTTATGTCCTGTAACCATTCCGTCAACATAAAGCTAACAAGTTTATCGAATCCCAATAATCCATGGCGATGCGTTAATCTTTTCAGTCTTAATTCAGAACAATTTAGCTGCGCCAAACCCATAAGCAGACCCGCCAGCGGCCCGTGAGTAAGATCCACGCGTTTACCATGATAATCCAACCTGATAAGGACCTCCGGAGCGAATATAACGCTTCTACAATAATTCAATAAGGTACAATAAAACTTTGTCTAAAAGATTAAACTTAAACTCATCATCCTTAATTAATTAGTTTATACCTGAAGTATATCGGTTGGCTATCATCCTGTACCTCGCTTATTGACTTAGCTTTCGTCTTGCTTTCCTTAATCGTAAGTTCGTCTTCTAGTAGTATCAATAAGTTTTGGTCCACAGCACTTGTTTGAGATGCATCCATCGGGGTTTGTGCATTAGGCGCTGTCGAGGCATCGTTTACGCTCATTACTGGCGGATGATGCGTAGGTGTTCCATGTTTTGAGCCAGGCGACGATTGAGTACTGCTAGACGTGCTCGTCGAGTCTTGATTCTGTTTTGATCCACCGCCCAGTTCAGTAAAAAAGTTTATCAAGAACAGCAGACTGTCTTGATCTATATTGAGACGGAGCGGCAGGACACTCAATTTAAGGCAGCACTCTTGCGCAGCCAATTTCGGATCAGGTCTCATGTGTACAGCTTTCATTGAGAACATATTAGCATGAGACTGCCTAGGCCTGGCCTCGCTGCTGTACTGGTAGAGAAACTTATTCAAGTGGGAAGACGCCAAACGATCTCTGATCTCGATCTCGCTCACGAGTAAAACTTGTCGCGACGCTTCTATCGTGTTTTCTGGATAGACCTCGTGCTGGAACCGAACCTTATTTAATTGGAACTCCATCAGGACATCCTGCTGACGTCCTGGACCACCCAAGACCTGCCAGTCGGTTGAAGACTCTCTGGTCTTTGCCCTAGGCGAATTTGGTACGCTACCAAAGCGCACCTCGTTTGGAGCTGATTTACTGAAACCTACGTCACCAATGGCTGAACGACTTCTGAAGAGCAACAAGAACAAATAAAAAATTAGAAATAATTTCTTTTGTTCGGTGCAATCATATTCTTTCTACTTACCTTCCTTGCATACCCGTATTATAACGTTGTCCGCTGTCATCTATGGTAACGTGTTTCTTAGTTGCTGACTGTGGACTTCCAAAGTCCTTTCCACCGTACATATGCCACACTAGAGTCATTTCGCATAGGGTATACCTTAATATGGCTGGCGGAAAGTGTCTAGGTGCTTTGAGTAAATCTGTCTTTCCCAATGGAACCGTAAAGTGATTATCAACTATTCGTAAAGATTCTTGGCAGAGCCACCTAACTTCAGGAACACCATGCCTAGGCATAATCCCTGCACCAGCCTCCTCGCCAAGGATGCAGAAGTCCTCGTCAGCATCATCGGAGTCGAGGTTAAGAACTGGTATTGAACGCGACTTTGGATTCTTTCGCATCTCAGATATATTCTGAGTAGCTGGATGAGACTCGTCCGGGAAGAAGAAGACTTCGACCTGATTCTCAGCCTCTGGAGACTTTCCACCGGTATTGACTACAGTTCCTAGTAATATGTACAGGTAAAATTTTAATAAATATTCTGCGAGTCTTATAAATAGTTGATCTTTCGACTTGTACATTATAAACACGTCCTACCTTTCACAGTATCCTCCATCGCTTCCTCCATCAAACTGTTAACACGGTCCACCTGACTCTTGCTCAGGGTATTAACACTTTCCTCACCCAGTAGACTTTCCTCATCGCCTGAACTCGGAATGGCGATACTCTCGGTACTTCCTGTATTAGAAACCAGGTCGCCGTCGCTTGCGAAATACGTGAGTAACTGAGTCAAAGCACGACCGGAATCCGAACAGGTCCTAACATTCAAGACGTTGTTGCTCGCCCTGAGATCAACCCTCGGTGCTCCACCGCACATCTTATCATTTAATCTAAGCGACAATTCAAAAAGTCCTAAGTCGATTACGCATACGTAGTTGTTCCGTAGGTTTACGTAATTTCCTATTTTATCCGAAATAAAGAGAGCCACGTCTTCTGCTATGAAGCGCAGAGTAGAAGTATTTGTTTGAGCAGCAATGTTACTGGAAACACTAAAGTTCCCAAGAGTCACCATGGACCTCAGCGGAAGATGAACCGGCCTTGTAAAACGAAGATATTCTATTACTGTTTGCCGACTTAAACAATTATCCAGATAGATAATAAGAATTACAACGCGATTCACCTGTAATCAACTGCACAGTCCCAGAGGTGAAGATGTAACTCGGTCAGGACTCCTGGAGGTGAGTATCCAGCCACAGGATGATCGGAAACTTCAAAGCAATCAGTAAGTTGCGTGAACCAGGATGCTTGAGAGGCGCACATCCTGTGTCTCAGAGTAGCGTTTCTTATACCCACGGCTACCCTGAAAGTCTTAATAATTCAATAGCCAAATTAATAATCAGATCATTAATCGGTATAATATTTGTATAATCTCCAATAACCTTTATGCGATGTGTCTGATGTGCAGCCTGTATTCGCACTGCTACCGTTAGCATATCTTTTTCTGTCGAATTTGGCACGATATTGGCGCCACTTTCACTACGATATATCGTTCGTTGACAATACTTAGGCGTGACACTGTTTATAGATCTCAAGGGTGGCGTCTGGGACGGTGTCGTCGTCAGACCGCAGTGGTTAAGGGAAGCATTTTTCAGCATAGCGCAGACGTAACCGAGATTGGCATTCCCTTTGTACGCGCTGACAGAGAATATTGTGGCGTCTTCCAGTCTCAGGATTATCTCCCCTTGTTGTCCAGGAATAACGTTACTCAAGGAATCCCTGACAGGTGTATAGAGACTCAAAAGACCTTGGCTTATATTCAGCGTGAGGGCTACAGTGCTCTGTCCACTTTTTGGAACTTTATTTTGCCGTTGCTTATAAGTTCTGTCAACTACCGATTGAAATATACCTTCCTCATCGGAATCCGAATCAGAATCATATTGGATTCCACTTTTACACATACTGAACCTGTGACATTAGTTTGTTTTGTTTAATTTAAATATCCTCTATTTGTTCTAGATTCAGTACTATTTTTGACTAACATACCTGGGATAAACTGACTCCTGTAAGACAGTCGATGCCAGATCCAGTCCTACATGACTTTCTGAATGAGCCATGGATTTGGGACGTGGGGCCGATGGTTCCCAGAGGAAGAGATCGGTACTAAATCTGTTATAAAGTTGTTCATAGAGATGCTTAGAGGGAATCTGGACAGAGACACATGGCAGACCAATTTCTAATTGAATCCTCGCACCGCGAGTACCCTCTTCTATAAATTCCATCATTTCTTGTCGATTACCCGGAATTATCAGTTCCTCGCCCTCCCTAATAAAAAGTGTTATCAGTAACCATTATTGACGTAAAAGAAATTCTTCTACTTCTCCAGGACAGTTTACCTGTGTTCCGTGCCATCTTTATCACCCTGACCATGAGGCTTGGAATGAGGTGTATCCGATTCATGTACAACTCGTTTTGAACTGAACGGCGATGGCTGATGTCTGGGAGTTTTCTCCAGGGTGTCGTCCAGACTAGATTCAGGTTCACCTTCGGAACTGTCTTCTAGGGGTCCACCCATGTGTTTCGGATAAACCGTGACGACTATTCTCGGCCAACCAAATCCTTCACCAGCCTGTGGCAAAGACCCGTCGGTCTTCTCATCCGCGGATGCCTTCCCGATCGTTACTGGAATATCCGAATCAGCTTCCGTATAAGACAGCAGGAGGTCACGACATTGAATTTCATGTCTTGCTAGACAGTGCGAGCGACTCTCCATCGAGGTGTGAATTTGTGCATCGGTTAGCATCAGGGTTACGTAGTCCGGTCGGACTGATCTCTTCCACCAAGGTGCCCGACTCATGTCGTGAAATGGTCTCAAGTCCGGTACAGGAAATCTGTTAACCCGTGTATAATTAGCGAACATTCGTTAGCCTATAATTGGTCAGAATTTTTGTAGCGTCGGTAATATAACTCACCTTACTTTTATGATGCAACGTGGTGCAGATACCTTGATGTCAATCCTAGAATCTGGCAGTGAGGGACTCTCGACAGCTTGATAAAATAGTGCTTGTTGATTCTGAATATTATGAAGTCTGAATAAAGTGGCGTGGAAAAATAATAGATTACCTGAAATTTTATGTGCTTAATCTGCTGTCAACTTACGATAGCTTCTCGTGCGTTGGTAACCGGATTGCAACTGCATATTGGTTGTGGATTAAAAACAGCAGATATTCTGTCTACAATGGTAATATCGATTTCGCTGTTAAACGGCTCCATATGGATGCTAAAAATTTGAAGTCATTTTACATTTATGTACAGGAAATATTGATACTATTATTTTTAACAGGCTGCTATTGATTCTTACTCAATTTCTGTGCGCGGATGTGCAAATTTTGTCACCTGAGCGTGACGCACGGCCTTCTCTGTATATTTGAATCGCATTCTAAAATCTGTCTTATTTGTAAAACCAAAGTTGGATGCGTTGTCCTTGGGAAATCCAAGTAATTCTATGTATTCAACAGAAGTGCTTCCGTTGGCGTTCGTGCCATTTGAGTCAATCAGACATTCAACAAGCTCTACACTTGCTAAAGTTAGGCTTCCGGATATAGCAGATGCTTGAACAGTAGTTTTTTCACTTCCTTCCATCACTAATGGTGCTGCCAACAATCTAAAAATTAATATTACGTGCACGCTGCATTAGCTGACAATGCAAGGGTGACCTTACTTCAAGGAAATATGCGAAAATTGCCAAAGCAAACCTGATGTGACTCAGTTGACAAGCATCGATAAATAATTTGGAAGCTCTCTCAAAATCCTTATTTCCATAACCAGCAGCGGCGAATACGCCAAGCTTTTTGAAAAATTCTTCCGCTGCGTGTTTCATATGCTCCGTACTGGCTCGTGTAAGGCTTAATCCTTCTATGCACGCAGTCAATATATCTTCATGTAAAAGTACTATGGCTATTGAAGATACTCTTATATGAAACTGTGATGTTTCAGCAGTGGGATCAGCATCCACGTTTGTTCGATATTTCTGTTGTCTTGGTACGTTTGTTACTGAACTTTTGGAACTGACGCTACTTGCTGATATACTTCCTTCCATACTGATATTATTGCTGGACATTGAATCTATCATAGAACCGGCTCCTGGTGTACGCATTGGTAAAAATTCATCTTCGTTATCTGATTCATCCAAAGATGCAGTGGACCAGCCTTGAGTATGTCGCAGATCCTAGATTACCATTAGAATAGATAATAACTCTGTATAAAACTGTCATTAAATGTTAGAAGAGGTCTTTAAGAAAGCCGGGCTCTACCATCGTTCGCAGTCCTTGAGTAGGATGTATCTGATGTAAGAGTTCACGTTCAACTCTATTGAAGTCACTATCAGCCATAGGTTTTTCTGTGCAAGTTCTTGGCGCAACATTGCTCGTGTCTTCCATATCTGGAGAAGCGAGACCGTGACCTAATTCTAGAAGAACGTGCAATTGTCTAGGACTTAAAAACGACGTGAATGAGCCCAAGGTTATTTCTAAGTCCACCTGAATAGTAAATGGTTTTTCTGACGTAAGAATTTGTGGTAAAGCGTGCTATTTGTATTTTCACTTCATGATTGTCTTTCGTTACCTTTGGTCCTAATACACCTTCACCTTGTTTCACTTTCAAGCGCACTTCTTGTCGTCCTGCTAATTTTGCAAACATTATAGGATTCGATTCGCTAAGATTGTTTATGATGCTTCCTTCTGGTGGAGTTTGCATGTTTTGGATAGGAGATATTTGTGCAGATGAAAACTGACTGTCGGAGTTCTAATAAGGATTTTAAGAAAAGTAGATATATAGTCTAATTTAGAAAAATTCTTGAATAAGCAGCGAAGGCTGATCTACCTTAGAGTCGGGTGTAGATCCTCTGCTCATTGTCATAACGCTTCTAGAAAATGTTCTGGCTCTTGATGGAAATTCATCTGTGCATATAGTAACTCCTTCCAAGTAGAATCTTTTTATAGTGAACGCAGACACCACATATCCCTTGGCCCCTTGATTGGGGTCTAAGGTAGAACTACCTGGGTCTGAACCTGCTTCATCTGAATATTCTAAATTCTTTATACTCAATTGTATTGCAACTCCTGTCATTGAGTCCAGAGGAACGTGTTCTATTCGTATTACCATATCTAGGAATCGTACTTTGACTCTGCACAGTACTAAAAGTGAGAAGACAAAAAATTTAGAAAAAAAAAGTTTACTGGCAGAAGCAATTACTTTACTAATATAATTTCTTACTAGAATCTATTGTTTGGGCAAACAATTCAAGACCCTCCAGAGGCTGTGCATTATCAGCATTATTTGCATCCTGCTGTAAACATTCCTGTGCAAGCTGCATACTTGATGTCATGGAACTCCACATAGACTCGAACATTGACGTTGCTGTATCAGTTCTTTGTCTTGGTTGAACTGTCAATCTCAATCCTTTAACTTCTACATAGCTTGCCTCACTGAGCAATGCAGACCAAGGTATGCTGACAGACATCTCTGCCACAAATCCATCAACAAATTCCACTGGAAGATGTTGCTGCTCTCCCATTTCATTAAGTGCCTAAGTACAAAGTAAAATCATAAAGGTCTATGTCATATGAACAAAGTAAATATAAAGAAAAACATAACTTTATCTATGTCGAATATTAGTCATTGTCTCTATACAAATGTAAAAGAAAGGACTTTACCTGTACATCCAGACTGACATCGGTAACACGACCAGTCCCATTGTAAAGATCTACAGTCAACTGATCGAGGGTCAATTTCTCCTCAAGGAACTGTCCAAGGTACCGTTGCAAAAGGTATCTGCATGCTCTCTTCTTTATTCCTTCAGACCATGGAAAACATCCCAGCCAAGACATTTTACAGCCTCGTTGCCAGCGATTACTCTAAGAAATTCATGGGAATGTTTTGTCCTGGTGTCTCTCGAATATTTGTCCACATGCGTTTAACGTTGGCTCGGTTATTTTGGTAAGGAGCACGAGGGAGCATTCGTATTATAAAATATCGTTCCCTCGACACGTGTCCCCTCCAACAGAGTCGCACTCAACATAATACGACGATTGACGACTCAGATTTAACGGTACTCCAGCTTCACATTGTTTTTCTTTTTGCAGATTCACTACAATCACGGTAGAGCATCAGGCGAACACTGCTTTTTCATTGATTGAAATCAGCTGATTTCGGAGACGCTTTGGCTATCCAATTCCTCACTTGCTTAGCTTACTTGCTGTGTTGTTGCGTTGTATTACCTTCATCTAAACACCCGGTACGTTCTTACCAACGTCTTCTACAACGTGCATATGCTCATCTGTACTGATTGGTACTGATTAATGCACTTGCGGGAAAAATTGCACCTTACCAAATGGTACAAGAACGTGACGAAGATTCTTAATCTTTCACGAATGACATGCTCCAATATTAATATAAGTCGGTTTATGCTAAACTTCGTATTTTGTAAATCACTTGCCAAATTCTGAAGCATCGAATTACATCAGGAATCGTTGTCACTTTCGTTCTGCGCCTTGAATTCTCACTGTGATTGTTTATCACCGCAGTATAGACTGGATGAGATTTGAATGCGCAGCAGTTCACGACTTTCTAAAAACAATATCGTGGCCTGGAATATGTCATTCTATTATTAATTGAATACGATTATTTTACAAGATACTTCGTTTAACCCATTTACGCAGCAATATTTTTATAATTTATTAAACCGAAGACGATCAGCTGTTTTTGCCGCGCCAGGGTATTTCTTTGTCTCTGATCAGAGCTACAGGGGGACATTTGTAGGTTTTGCACTCGTTGGTAACACTGCAGGTTGGCACTGGTTCCTCCGATCAGCTAAAGAAACGTCAGAATTTATTTTGTAAAAGTGCAAGTTCGTCGTGATTGGATAAGTAGTGTTGTTGGTGAAAAAACGTCAGTTCAATTCATACATGAAATATTAATTGGATGAGGTTAAAAGTCGGATGAGCTCATTATACGGCTTTGTATGTCGTTTAAGCGGATTATATTAACTGTAGATTTTGTATAATCTTCCAACATTCACAAGCTAGTTGCCAACTGATTTGGAGCACCATGGCACTAACTAACATTTTACTACTCAGCCAAATAGCAGGATATGTGGTGGCATTATTTTTGTCATTGTGCATTGTTGTGCCAATGAGTCTTCATCAGGATGAATTCAGGTGGATTCTTTTCCTTCTATTGATGTATTTGTGACTGATGTCCTGTTTAATAGCACATAGTTACCAATAACACAGGCCAAGATAAAAATTTCTAAAATCAACGCATCTTTTATTTTCAGGGGGCACTGTCTACTATTTTCTACGGGAGTTTGGCAGGAAACTGATGGGCAGTTTGTTGTTAATTGGGCCTCACAAGCATATTGCAATTATACTATATTTGTTGGTTTAATTCTCTTTCTAACAGCAGCTGTCCAGATTTACCGTCTTTCCATGCTTATGTATCGAGGAGAAGATAGTTCGTTTCTCTCAGCTTTTGTAGACATTGTCAGTTCCATTTTACTGACAACAGTGACATTAATTGCTGCTATTATTATCACACTGGGATTCATGACATGGTGCAAATGTATGACAAAACGATTCCCATCGTGTGAACTAGCTGCTGGAAATGATATTGATAAAGCAGACAAGATTGATACTTCAGGATTTCATATCGAATTGGGAGCTGCACAGTTTGGTGCATGGAGTAGTTTATCTATTTGGGTTGGACTTTCAGTTTTTGCGGTTTTGAAATTACTACGTTATCATCAGTTAGAGAATATGAAGGTCTCAATGTATAGAGAAAGACAAAGACTAATTGAAGCTGCAGCAAGCAGTCAACAATCAGGGCCCAGTTAAAACTAACAACACAAGCATACAACAGACCCTATCGTATTACAGTGATACATGATCATGGTAACATTACGTACAGTTATATAGACATTTGTTAAATTTATATATATCTTATTAACTCCCTGAAGATTTAATATTGTAGGGAATTGTATATTTGAATAATTGTTTCATTGTTTCTATTTTTCAAATATAAAAATGTCCTTATACCAACAGTATGTAGATTCCAGGACAAATGTAATAGATTTTTAATTAACAAAATACTTACTGGTAATCGTGTAAAATTTTTAATCAACTTGCTTTAATTGTCTGTTGCAAAGATCGTAGTTTAAGATAATCAGAATAATTATCTATTGAGCGTAATAATTTCTTTCATTCTTGTTAGCCATATAGTATGAACTATAATCTACTGTAAACGAATGAAATTCTAGCATCCATCAGTCAGTATTACGCACCATACAACCGTATCCACTATAAGCGATTATTATACACAGATAATTGCAAAAAAGAATTTGATAAGGATTGGGATATAGAGAAGACTGTAAATGCTCTGTCTAATAAAAAGAAGAATATGTCTAATGATATAAATCAGACTGCGTTTAATGCTCATATATTTTAGAATCGTGTATATGTATTTTATTTTATACAATTTATTAGAGTTAAATTAACGTAAAGTCAAATCCTTTGACGAGCTAATCAAACACCATCGCATTAACCTAAATGATAAGCGTTTAATATTAGGAGTATTCTTGTAACAAAATTAAAAAAGCGCCAGTGTACACCATATCAAGTAAATATAAAAACCTAAAGCTCGAGCGCACTTTTAAATACATTGTTAACCAGATCCTTGTCATTGACAGTTTCCACCGTATAGTATTTAAAGAAGATTAACCAATCATATACTGTGATATATAATGTGATTAGCTAATCTTCAATTCTGTACGGTAAAATCTAAAGTGAGAATATTGAGCAATATTAATCGTAATAAAACAGTACCAATGAGTATGGCAATGAAATATATAAATTATACGTATACATTAAATCATCTTTCTACAGACACCCAATGAATTTCTACGGCTTCCTGCAGGACACCGATTAGTCGGTGCATCAATAATATTGAAAAGTACCAACTCATTGGGTATGCATTCTATTTCAAATGTAGTTTCATTCACACCCAAGACACCATCTGGTGCACAAGGACCACCGGAGGTCTTGAGTCCATAGCAAGTATTATTATACTGCACCAGACCATCCTCAAGGCATGGATTTTTCTCGCACTTGGGTACCGATTCACCAAGTGGCAGAACAACGTATTCTTTCGGAAGACAGGGTCCCCTCATATAAGCTTCGTGACAGGAATTATTCAATGGAAAGTAAAGAAATCGTGGTCTGCAGTCGCATATCCAAGCACTGACGTGACCATCCCCAGGATACAGTAGCATGTTTTCAGGACAACGTCCAGGAATCATAACAGGAAGTCGTTCTGTTATCTGAAGAGTAAAAAGAGAGAAACAGACTCATCGCGCAAGGATTCACAATGTAATCCTACGAGGACATTTTTGAAAGTTATGTAATGTCAACTTACTTCCGCTTTATTCCCACTTACATGGGACATTTCTTCGTCATTTGGAAAAACTATGTCTTGGCACCATATCCGGAATGTAAATATTAAAAGCGTAAAACTAAATATTATCCACTTCATGTCTTAATTTAATTATTCGGTATCTCTCGTCAGATGAAACTTAACCGGACACTTTTGATCTCTAATTTTTATAGAATCCGATTGTTTATTGAGATTAATTTTATTATAACCAGCTTGATTTTATTCACACAAGTTCAAAGAAATACTCTTTCGCTCTGACCGCAACCAATTTACGAGGCGCTTCAAGAGCTAATGAAACAGTCGTAGATTCTCAAGAAGACTATACGTAAAAATATTGCACCGTTACGACCTGAAGTGACTCTGAAGGCCCCCAAGGCTAACTAGTATCATGTCAAATAAAAGAACAAAAATAGCAATCATCGATGGCCAAGTTATACAGCCGCAACATATTGTACGATTCAGGGACGAGTGCTATAAAAATACAACTGTTTGTAGGTAAAGAACAGTAGGCATGTATATGCGAAGCATACGAAAACTTTTTAACCTTTTATATGTTCAAATTACAGACTGTCTTGATATTTCACAATAATTCGTCACAATTAATTGACTCCTGGAGAAGGAACAGCCTATTGAGGAAATAACACTATATGTGTCTATCTATTTGACTGTTAAACATTTTTCTTTTTTTTTTAACAAAAATCAATTCTTGACCTTTCTCACAAAATTGTCCTGCACGTGCCATTCGCCACCCGACGTGTTCCTGGTCTACAAGCTCTCAGTGGTGCCGATATTATGTTCCGGTTTGGAAATGTAATCTCAATACATCCTATGCTGTATGCATCGTTATGGACCCCAAGAATCTTGCTGGCGTTGCAAACAGTACCAGACTTCCCCAGCTCGTGACAAGTACCGTTAAACATTACAAGTCCATCCGTTAGACAAGGATTTTTCTTACACCTTGCAACCGCTTCATCCTGTCCGAGTATAAGATATTTTCTCGACGAACAGGGACCCTTTCTGTATGGCAAATAGCAGGAATTGTTTGGCGGATAATAGATGAATCCTAAATCGCAATCACAGAATTGATTATCCTCTTCCTCGTTGTAGTACAACTTCATGTTCAATGGACATGAAGTTGATTCGTTTGTCTTATGACCCCCAGAAAAGAAAAAAACAGAAAAAGTTAAATGCTATCACTGTCTCTCGATAAGACTTCATCGATACAATAATGCATGATTTTTGAGACTACTGAACTAAATATATCTATTAATAAGAATTATTTCACTTACGAGTTGTACATGTTGCCCGAAATTTGTGTTGGTAGTTTCATTTGGAAAAGTTATATCTTGCGCCCGTAATGCATTAACGAAAATTAATATCCATCCGACCAATATTAATCCAAACATCTTAGTTAGTTAAAGAAATTTTCCAAAAATTATATACGCCTTGTGACGCTCCACTTAGGGCAACGATGACTGATATAAATATATGACTGCGATGTTTGCCACAAGAGAACTCTATGGCCGTGTGCGAGGAAAACAGACAGAAAGACTACTGATGTATTAATGTTATATGTTGAAAGTTTTGTGCCTTAGAAGCAAATAATCATTGTAGCAGGGTCGCTCGTATCGCTATGAGGCCATTTAATGTGCGATGCTACGTAGTATACTGTAATCGTATGCATAAGGTCGTACGAGCATCATCAAAACTGATTAATTTTGATTTCAACCTCAAAAGAAAAAGTAATTTATGGACACGGGTCATTTACTTATTTCCAAGAATACACTTTGAGGAAGATTGCATCACATGAATTTTCGGAACGGATGAGCGATGGTTAAGGCGGTCTGATAATAACACCTAAACCAAGATAAAATTTTCTTCTGTACGTATAATACTACACAATAACTGAATCTTTGTCTATGTAAAATTTAAGCACGATTTACTTTATAGCTTATGAGATATAACATCAAAGTGTGAATTTCCATTGTATGGATATACTCAATCTATAAAAGTGAATAACTTTAAATTCAATATCTTCATTTTTGTACAGTAGAATGCAATGATTTGTGGCTCGAGTGTTTAGATAATCTTATATTTCCACTTATTTATTTTTGAACCAAGAATTTTGGAAATGTTATTGTCTGTTTAATCTATGCTTTGCTATTACTATTATGATTATCATCAACGAAGCATCCTTATGGTGAAATATTTACTAATGAACTCTTCAGTGATCAATGAATGATTTAAGATTTTAGTATTTATTACGTTGTTTTATTCAAATGTATGTGGTGAAATTACAATCCTTCTATATTAGTTTCGATGGTCCATTTATTTACACGGGGCAGAGATCAGTTATTCGTCTGTGAGAAAAAATATTTTTTTTTGTTAAAGTTGCTAGTTATAATTTCTCAGTGTATTGAATTTTAAATCTATGGTTGTTATATTTACCATTTTCGATACTTTGTTCGACAGGCTACTCAATTCCAGGGACAGTTAACGAATGTGTTCCATAGTAATCATAAAATTTCGACATATATAATTCCAGCGAAGAATAGAACGAGGATCTTTCCATATCGGGCAATTTCCTAAAGTTTTTATAAATCTCAAGTAGCTGCATAGGTTCTAAATGGCCGAATTCTGTAAATATATCGATGCCTTTGGGTATGAATAATGTTCCACAATTTGGTATCCAGTCTCTGTAATAGTGAAAGTAAGATTGTCATGTAAACAAAGACATATTGTATGATTCAAACTTTTGTGCAAAATTCTATTCGTATACTTACTCCAATTTTGGTATAACTCTGGTACTTCTTGATAAAGTGGTCTGCTGGATAAAGAACCAAAATGGAATTGCTGTAGTTTCTTCTAAAATTTCCGTATAGAGATTCGCTTTTGGTTCTATTCTCACAATAACTACGTCTTTATTATCCGCTTGGATCAAATCCTTAGATTTTTTTGTTCTTTTTAAAGAGTTTAGCTTAGATGGCAATGGCAGTATTGCTGACCTTGGTATCGTTCCCAGTTGCTGGTAATGAAAAAATGTTTGAAACAGGATGGAACTTGTTCGATAATAAAAATATCCGTCTGAGCATGTCGCAGATAAGTACTGCAATATAAAAAAAAATCAATTATTGTAATCTTAAAAAATATATATTAGATTAGAGTTTATTGAAAACATACTTTGAAAAGAGATGGTGCCATTCCTATATAAAAAACTGGTCTTCCATACAACATAATGTTATTTTTCAATATTAAAAATATCATTAATTGCTTTATAAATCTTATGGAAGGAAGCATACAAATAATGTGCATGCTTGGTTCTTCTTCATATTGTTTCTTTTGTACACCTTCAAAAGTATTTTTTATTTTATCTCCTTCGCTATGCATATCATTCACTCCCATATTCCACAGACAGTACAGATTATATTGGCGAATATCTATTTTGTCTTGGTACTTATTATCAAGTGTTTTGAGATATGTAATGAAAGATAAATATGGTTCGTACAAATGTATCTTTGGGATTCCTGCATCAATTAGACATTTTGTAAGCTTACCCAAAGCAGGGTTCATTTCAGCAATGAAAGTAGCATTCGCTTTAAGATCATCCACAATCATATCACATATACTCTTTGCTGCACTGTCATCAATTACTATACCCGGACTGGCTATTGAAGTTCTTCTTAAAAACCGTGATGGTAAATATTCAATAAAATCATTTATACCATTTTTTTCAAGACATTCAATAACTTCTTTTGAGCCTTGTGCATGCGCTCGAGCATTGCCGATTTTTAATAAATCTCTTTCAATTTCAAAGCTCTCATTCTTCACTTTTGTGCAACATTGTGATATTCTGTGTAAATTCTTTCGAAGAACAGTATTAAATGATATGCAGGATAAATACCAATTAACATCTTTTATCAGCAATGAGTGTGCTGGAAATGTTAAACCCAATCTTATCCAATGCATCATTAATATAAGTTCTGTAAACCATAAAGAATATAGTGTTATCACTCCTGTTGAGCCTATTCATTATGAGGTTAAGTTTTGAAATTAATAGCGTATAAAAAGTATAACGCACTCGATACCTTATACAATTATAAAATTCATACTTTACAAAAAATCACTACAGGAACAGAATTTTATTTATTTATTATTTATGATTTTTACTTTCATTCATAATAATGCTTTTGTAGTAGAACACAGTTGAAATTTAGAACTCCACGCTTTTGCGGCGTTTCCGCTAGGCTCCATTGTATCTGTTGGCGCGAAGCCGTTATGGTTATGAATGTTTTCTCTTCCACCACTCATCGTCTCAATCGTTCGAACTTGTCAAGCCATGTCGGCCGCCGCGACAGCCACCACTTTATCTGCTCAAGGAGATGAGGATCTCGACGATTATAATCCACAGGCGAAGCTTATACAAACGCTTGAAGTGAGACCAACTTCTGAACATCATCTGTTCTTTGGAATTCTTATATTTCTGTAGTAAGAATGATGCGTGAATCTCTTCATCTGACTTTAGGGCAATGGAATTACGGCTGGGGATATTAAGAAACTTCAAGATGCTGGTTATTATACGGTGGAAGCTGTCGCATATACTCCTAAGAAACACCTTATAACAATCAAGGGTATCAGTGAAGCGAAGGCTGACAAGATTCTTCAAGAAGCTTCAAAACTTGTGGTGATGGGGTTTAAAAGTGCTACTGAGATTCATCAGACCCGTGCCAATACTGTATTCCTAACCACAGGCTCTACGGAGCTGGATAGATTGTTGGGTGGAGGAATTGAGACTGGTTCAATTACAGAGATATTTGGTGAATTCAGAACAGGAAAGTCTCAGCTCTGTCATACTTTAGCAGTAAATTGTCAATTACCGATAGATATGGGTGGTGCTGAAGGTAAATGTCTCTATATAGATACAGAAGGTACATTTCGTCCTGAGAGATTAATTGCAGTTGCTGAAAGATATCAAATTGCTGGGGACTCAGTTCTAGACAATGTTGCTTGCGCTAGAGCATATAATACTGATCATCAGACTCAACTTTTGATACAAGCTAGCGCAATGATGATAGAATCTCGATATGCTTTGCTTATAGTAGACAGTGCTACAGCCCTGTATCGCACAGATTACTCTGGCAGGGGAGAACTAGCAGCTAGACAAATGCATTTAGCTAGATTTCTGAGAATGTTGCTACGAATAGCAGATGAGCATGGTGTTGCTATTGTGATTACCAATCAAGTTGTTGCTCAAGTTGATGGAGCAGCAAGTATGTTTGGTGGAGATCAGAAAAAGCCTATAGGTGGTAATATTATTGCACATGCGAGTACCACGCGGTTATATTTACGAAAAGGTAGAGGTGAGACTAGAATATGTAAAATATATGATTCGCCGTGTCTGCCAGAAAATGAAGCAACATTTGCTATAAATCCTGATGGTATCGGGGATGTGAAAGAATAATGAAAACTGCAATCTGTTATTAATAACAATATAATTATTTAATTATCAATCATGCACAATGATAAGCTCATAATATTGTATTATGGTAACATTTAACTATGAAAACATAATTTCTTCTGACAATCAGTGTGATTGATAACTGAATAATAAATGTATAAAACATATTTTGTCTGACATTTTACTAGCAATACATACATAATTGGATTAAGTAAATATTTTTATAAGATTGATGTAAAGAGAATAAATTGTTATTTAACATTCATTTAATATATGTATAATTATATAATTAACTATTAAACAGGTTTTTTTATAACGTAATCCTGTTTCTAACAAAATTAGAGAGAAATTTCTACCGTGCCTCTCAGATTGCATATTGCGCATGCGTAAACTGCGCTTCACATACCGAAAAGCTGTCCTGTTTGTAGGTTGGATCTATGTGCTTCGGGTGAATTTATTAATTGCCAATTTTTCATTATCGTACAGTTTGAGCGGTGCTTGCAAGTGACCGTGTGTATTTATATAAAGGTGGAATCTCTTTGGCTATGCATAAAAATATAATATTGCGTTAAGTAGCCGCAATGAACCTTATTGTTTGTCTTTTATTGTAATTTCTTAGTAGACGATGTTCAAATTGTGCAAGTCAAAGGTGCTCCTACGAGCTGTCACTTATGATAAAGTCGGTTTACACCGGTTGTACGTTATGAAAAATCTCGAGAGAATGAAAAATGTTAAGCCTACCAGGAACTTTAAGTGGGACGTGAAAAATTTGAAAAGGGGTTGCAGCCTTTGGTGGGTTATCCGCTAATGAATAGCTCTTTAACGGCCCTTATGTTCCACAACATCAAATATTTCGATTACTTTCCACTTGTTGGATCATGATATTTTCTCAAGTAAACGCGAATTTAATTGTCTGTTGAAGTGTAATTTTTATTTGTTTGCTTAAAAATTTTCACCGTCTGTTAAAATTGTCTGTATATTATTTAATGGGTTCATATGCAGGTTTAACTTAACTTTCTATCCGTATTTTCTATCATTCTCTCATTTAGATATATTTAATGAATTTTCTTTTGTTAGTCCGTGTAGAAATTACAAGACAATGTGTGACGATATCACCTTGTTTACTTTACCAAATGATCAGCCAATTGTTGCCTTGGAATGCGAGACAGCATTCAATGCATTGACTGCCAAAGAAAAGTTATACGCACATTACTTGAGTCAGGCTGCATGGAACGGTGGCCTTATTGCACTGGTGCAAACATCACCTGAATCTCCACTGATATTTGCTCTTCTACATAAGATTTTTACCAAACAAAACCCAGACGATTTGAAAAAGGCAGCACTGGAACGTGGTGTGACCGAAGATGAATTCACTGTATGAAACATGTTTCTAAGGATTATGTGTAGGTGAATATTTATAATCTTTTTCTTATTTTCTAGGCATTCCTTGTGTATGCATGTGGAGTATTCTCTAATTCAGGTAACTATAAGTCCTTTGGAGATAGTAAGCTAATTCCTAACCTGCCCAAAGAACGATTTGAACTGATTGTGAAAGCCTCCAAAGCATACACTGAGCAACCTAAGGAAATTGAAACGATCTGGAGTACCATACAGGAGAATATATTTTCCCTAGAGGAAAGATTAAAATCTTTAGGTCTTGGAGACAAAGGAATTACAACCTACTTTTCCTCAAACTGTACAGCAGAGGATGCTGAAATAGTAAATGAATTTATGCAGAGTAAGGGATTGGAGTCTTACAATGCGCGCTGCTTTAAAACAACAGAGCCCTGTGCTGATTCGACTGATAAGAAATTCCGAAACGTTTATGAGATTAGGTTGGCTTCCGTCGAGGAGGGAGATGATTCTAATATTACTTTGGCACCAGAAATATTCAAGGATGCCAAATTCAAAATTACCAGAGGAGACTATAGCCAACTTCTCTTTTCCGTCGTAGAGAATTTACGCAAAGCTAAGGAATACGCTGCAAATGAAAACGAGATAAATATGCTCGATAGATATATTAATCACTTTACGACGGGTTCCTTGGAGGAACACAAAAATGGTTCCCGCTTTTGGATCAAGGATAAAGGACCTGTAATCGAAACTTACATTGGTTTCATCGAAACATACAGGGATCCAGTAGGACAGCGAGGAGAATTCGAAGGATTCGTAGCGATGGTGAACAAGGAGATGTCACGAAAATTTGCAACCTTAGTTGCCAAAGCTGAGGAACTCCTACCGAAGTTACCATGGGGCAAGGACTTCGAGAAGGACGAATTTCTAAGGCCGGATTTTACGTCCTTAGATGTTTTAACATTTTCCGGTTCTGGAATTCCTGCAGGAATCAATATACCTAATTACGATGAAATCAGGCAGTCTGAAGGTTTCAAAAATGTCTCACTGGGTAATGTCATTCCTGCTAATATGCAACTGGACGTTATTCCTTTCTTGTCTGACGAGGATCAGGCGCTCATGAACAAGTTCCGGATAAATAGTTTCGAAGTTCAAGTTGGTCTGCATGAACTCCTGGGTCATGGCAGTGGGAAACTGTTTAGAAGTCTTGGTAACGGTCAGTTCAACTATAATAAAGATCGTGTTGTAAATCCATTAACTAATGAATTGGTAACAAAATACTTTCTCGAGGGTGAAACGTACGATTCGAAATTTGGCGCTCTGGGTTCCTCTTATGAAGAATGTCGGGCAGAAGCTGTAGGGCTCTATTTAAGTCTCGAGGAGGAAGTGATTAAGATATTCGGTTACGAAGATAAGGATATTCAGAATATCATTTATGTAAACTGGTTATCCTTATTATGGGCCGGTTGCGCAAAAGCTCTGGAGATGTATCAACCAACTACAAAGAAGTGGTTGCAAGCCCACTCTCAGGCCAGATACGTTCTATTAAGAGTATGTCTGGAAGCTGGGGAGGATTTCGTGAACGTGGTGGAGTCTGAGCCAGGAGAGAACTTGCGATTGATTGTGGACAGAACCAAAATTCATACAGTGGGTAAAAAGGCTATCGGAGAATTCCTGAAAAAACTACAGATATACAAAAGTACTGGTGATGTTGAAGCTGCCAAGGAGATGTATGGCAGATACAGCGAGGTACCTGAGTCTGGACCACAGCCTTGGGCTCGCTGGAGAAAAATCGTCCTGGCTCATACGCAGGCACGAAAAATCTTCATACAGTCTAATACCTTTATTGACAGTAAGTGTATTGATCTCAGATTTTTAATAATAAAATGTAAAGATTCTAACAACAAGAATAATTGATATCCATTTTCTATTTCAATTTCAGAAAATGGTGAAGATATCAATGTGAAGTTGAAGAAGTACGAGCCTACATTCGAAGGACTCATTCAGTCTTGGGCAGAGCGTTTTCCATCTTCAGAGACATCGCAAAACCTTGTTGCTCTTTTCGAAAAGGATCAAATGTATTTTATGAACAATTAACTCTGTCAAGCTTAAAGGTCACATCGGCTACAACTGCATGAGATTGTTGTCATTTTGATGAATTTTCAACAAATCTTTTGGAGTTATTTATCAAGAGTAATTATGAAACAGACCACTTTTTCGTAACTATAAATGATTTTATCTTTTACAAAGGTGCACAATTAAATATTAAAAAGTAATAATTAGTGTGTAAACCATTACTAATACCCAATAAATACCAACTAGAGAGCTAATGGATCCTTTCTTCTCAGAAAGGAACAACTAGACGATACACAAGTATAGAATATTCCCGATTTTCGTATGCATGTACATCCATACAAAGCAAATTTGAAAGAATCACGCCATTGTGTCATTCAGTTAAGATGGCAGCAGAATCGCTTTAAACAAATCGCGGCGGCGTCCCATCCGTCAGTTTTGGCGGGAAGACCGTAACGTCCGGAGCAAAATGGTGGCGAAGGAAGCGTTGATAGAACAGTTCCAGGCTTTGGGTTCAAACGTCGAGGATAACGCCGTTTTAAATAAATGTAAGTAATCCTTCCAATATCTGCAAAATTCAAGTAATAAACTTTATTCGTTCTGAAGAAAAATCTTGCTTTAATTCGTCCCTACATACACACATTAGTTTCGCAAACCGTTCCACGTTGGGGGACGCTTCCCACAAAGAAGCCTGCAGTAATTGAGGGTAATGGCTAAGGAATGTGTCTCATTATTGTTAATTGTCCGCCGAACGGAGGACGTCTGAGTCTCTAGGGTGAATGGATTATTATTGTCATTACACTAATGCGAAGTAGAAGATTATGAGAATATCATTGCAATAAAAAAATCTCTGACCTATAGCTTCTATCTTGTCTTAGAATAATTATATCGTTAATCGTCTGATAAAAAGATTTGTTGTGTTTTTTAGCTCTTACGAATATTTATACAGACCGAATATTTCGTAGTGGTTAACCTGTTGTTTGACTGGAGAACATAACCTAATAAAACGGACGCCGTGTGCCATGACGCTTCGAGTCTAACGGCAATTTTTTAACTTTTGATTCAGGTCTTGATCTTTGCGACTCGTATGGTATAGACGAGGAGACGTTCGTCGAGATATGGGTGGCATTCAGCGTCCCACGTTATAAAAGTCTTGATCCGACTTTGGAAGGTCTTGGACAGCTGGAGCGTATAGAATTAAAAAAGGGAAATAAACTGCGAGTTGAAAAAGATCTGTCCAAACTTGCAGTCTACAATTCCTGCAACTCCAAGCAATACAAGTATCCTTTAATATGCATATCAACTATCCTGTGTTACGATTAATATTGAGTTAGTGACATCGCTAACATTCGTACATTGCTTTCTTTGCTTTGAACTTGCAAATCTTTATATTCAAACCTTAAATAGAGAAATAGTGAAAATGATGACCTTCTTGAGATGTATGGAGGAAGAACACCTACTACGCCAAAAGTGAGTATTAGAAATATCATTAATATTATGCTAGTATATTATTACTATTACGATCCATCTAAGGATTTCCAATGATAATTATATAGCTCTTAATGTATCCTTAGTGTGTGAATACATAATTGGTTGCCAGTTAATGATATGAATCCCAAAATGTCCGCCCACCGTGGGATCTGCCATCTTTTTACCATTTTAAATCTGATTGTGTTAGTAATTTGAGCGTGGAATAATCCTAAGCCCACTGGCATTGCTAAATCATTGTGGGAACAGAAATTGAAAAAAGGAAATAAGCTGTAGTTTTGAGGGTTCAGGTTGTTTCGAAATTCCATGAACCGTGTCATTATAAGGCTGTATCTCTCCCTCTTTATACATTTCTCTTTCCTTCATTCTCTTCCATTCGCTCTTTCTCTCTATATACCACTACTACATTACTAGTACTGTATATTGGTATTACTACTACTATTATCACCACCACCACCACAACCACTACTACGATAACTGCTATTAGTATTGTACCATGCAGGACTGGCTGCCAATATGCCCAGCCTATGTTAACTCATCTATAGCCAGGTAGGCTGAGCTAGAACTCTTGTAAACAAGTTTTCTAGTGGAGCGAAACCCGCCTGGATTTTTTGCCAGGCAGACTCGCTTTGTTGCATTTTTCCGGTGGAGAATTACAAGGGCGTATCTCCTGGTAGTCGAAACGATCGACATTGCCATTGGCCCATTCTACTTCGTTACTGTTGCTGCTGTTGTTCGACTTCCCCTTTACGTTGTTGGTTTCGAAGCAGTCACTATAATTCTAATTACGGTTCGACATTAGCAAGGGAGCATAGCCGCTTTTTATTTTTTTTCGTGCAAACTTTTCCGTCGCCAATATCATCGTAATCGTGATGAGATACCGAATATTGTGAAGTTAACAAAAAATTTCCCTTTGACATATTCGCGAATACTCAATGATAGACAAATTCGCGACGACAGGCGTCTTGGACGACTCGTGTTTGTCAGTTCTGTGAATTCGTCGACGTTGCACGTGACGAAAGGAGAACGTGGTTGTTGAAACTACCTTGCTAGGAAGTATAACAGCGTATAACGCTGTTCTTAAATTGTTTGTTGACCGTAGACACTTGCATTGTTATCTATGAAAATCGCTTGTTTTACGTGACATAGGATCCCCCTCTTGGAGTCTGCGTGTCTCTGTACACGCGGGTCCAGGCACAGTCTGGCAACGTTGCGACAGATTTACCGCTTTCAGCCACGTGAGTCAAACTCATGAAAACTTTGGTCAAATCAGCATTTCTCATTCTTTGTTCAAGGATGCTGCGCCCATTAACGATCATCACCGCGGATACTCTAAAATCTGAAATTAGCGCATAGCAATTCGATAGGCCTGTACACGTATATTAAGCAATCATGGAATGTGTACGTCGTTAACAACTTTCAGCATCTACTTGTCTCTACTACTCACCGTGCAAGGTAGTAAACGTTAGAATTAAGTAATTTTCATGAAGCATTGGTAAATTCACGGAACTGTCCTTAGAGTTCCTCTTTCTTACACGGCGAATGATTTATATCGGCGCTGGCAACACTGTCGCGCATTCTTCGCGCTGCTACAGTCCCAATGACGTAACGAGTCTACCTGCGGACCCAATTCTCCTGGGGCCTGGTCCTGGGACCCTCTTTTCTGCAGGGTTGCAAGAGCGTGAGAAGAAGAAAAAAAATAACAGCTTCTGACCGGATACAAGAAAATTCTGTTATAACAGAATTTCAAGATACAAATAACGTCAGCGAAGAAAAGTCGAATAAACACCATCCTCTTCCTTGCACGAAATCTCTTATTGTTCTGTAACGAAGATCCGGGTAAAGTGTGATCATATTTAGAGACGCTTCTTCGTCACTCCCGTCTCGAATCAAGGATCTGGAAAAACCCGTTTGTCGTCGCGCCCGGGCACCCTCTTCTGTTCCCCACTGTGCTCTACGGCACTGCCTAGTGGTACTGGTTGTATAGTCGTCGTTGCCACATCCTTCGAACGAGGGCGGGGATTCACTTTCGGGATGTTGTCCGATTATATCGCGTCTTTTTACCTTTCGATTCTTCCCCTTCTGTTCATCTCTTCATTTCTTTCTTTCTACAACGTTCGGAGAACAATGCGCCCTCCGAAAGTCACGATTTGGATTTCCACGAATAGACATGCAGTACCGGATACTTTTGCTTTCTCTTGTTGGGCTTTGCCAGAGCAACGCTTTAGCCGTTACACAGATTTTTACAATAGACGCGAAATAGAATCGCCAGAGAGATTTTAACGTGACGTGAATTGGCGTCATAGGATTGTATATGATATATGGGGGTAACTTACCCGTATGCGTGCTGTCAATTAATATTTCGTTGGTTGAAATGTGTTTGATCGTTCGGAAGCGACGGGAAAGTATACGTGGGAAACGCAGTTAATCGAGGATGTAGAGAAAGATTGACGTTATTTAGCAACAGGTGTTTTGTGCTGCACGAGGAAGGTTAGGTCAGGTTAAGGTTTATGGTACATGTAAATGAGTTAGTGCTCGTAAAGATCTCGTTTTCTCTAATTAAAAAGTCATATTTTCTTTAAAGAAACGACTCGAGTATCACGACCTTTCTGAGTTAGCAGTCAGAGAAACAGAATTTAAAAAAAAAAAAATATTGTGGGGTACGAAGACAGCGAATATTCTAACGATTTCCCGACAGGTGGGTTGTATATAGAGGAGGAGGAAGAAGAAAAAGGTTGGCAGAGAGGCTCACAGGCCGCCAGTAATTCCTGCCACAAAAATCATCCAGGTAGATTGCCGCCATTAACCCCACTCCTGTAATTTCTCCCACAAAGGACTCAGGCTCCCTCCTTCCTTTCCTCAGCTCACCGTATATAAATTTGCTCGCTGAGAGAACGGCTTTCCCACTGGTGGGGATAGGAGTAACACGATTCGTCCTGGAGGGGGTAACTCCCCACCAAACAAACCCGACCAGATTTCTTTCAAAGGGAATAATTTCAGTTTTCAAGGACGCGGTCGCCGCCATCGTGTCGTGCTCGGCTGCTCGCCGAAACAAAGCGACGTCTCTCTTGTGTTCTCAGTTTCCTAGGCAGCAGAGGCCTTACTAGAATTTCGACGCTTTTCTCTAAAGAAAATGGAAGCTCGCGAATCCTGTGGCTTCGTAAAGGAGCATACTACGAGTCAAAAGTTAATCGTACGGTCTCCAGACAGTGGTTCTTGTAACGGCGTTGTGCTAGAGACGACGCCGTGCTGTGTCGGGAGACGCTGCGCGTCATGCTGTCAGCTTCGTGAGAGTTCCCGTGTGTATAGAAGGTACGCGTACTGTGCTGGTTTTTTTTTTCAAGTGTTTTCTGTGATATGTCATCGTAACGCTAATTCCAAACAGAGGAAACCACGTTCCTCGTTACGTGTCGCAGTTTCCATCTTTCACTGTCTGGCGTCGCGGCGGGACGCAGATCACTCGGGAATCGCATCCCGAGTTACGGCGTCTCTGTAGGAACGCGTCGTCACCGCCATTACAAAAGTTTCGTTGTGTGTTTTCGTACGTTCGTCGTTGCCAACACGGACGCGTGGCGTCGGGACGGACCTGTTGCTTCTCTTGAGGTTGACTCGTTCAAATGCTCTTTCTTCTCTCTTACGTGTACATACATACATTATCCCTTCTCTTTCTCTCTATCGGTCGATTTAACCAAGAATACTATTTTCAAACACGACAAGCGGCTTTACTGACGGTTTTCGCATGGATGCCGCCGCGTTCCGATGTCTCGCGTCGTCCTTACGCACGGTGACGTCACATTTCTCAAAATGACTCTTAAGCCGGCTGGGTGACGCGTTGCGTCACGTCGCCTCGCCGACCTGTTGATTCTCTCACGCGGCGTCCCTTTCTTTTTCCACGATGCTCTTCGCTCCTTTCAATGACCGTTACCAAGGTCTACCGTGACTCCGTCTCGTTTCTTTCTCGTTTTTTTAATTCTCTCTTTTCAAATACGCGCACAAGTTATCCGTAATTGTACAAATTTTATGGTAGCTCCCACCGGCTATATATTCATATCGGACTGAATGGCAGTTTCAATGGTTCGCAATAGCGATTGGATGAGGGCCGGTGAGTGTATCGAGTAGCTGCGAAATATGGGTCGGCCTAGAAAGTAGTTCTCATGTATACTCAGAGAACGGGGTATTTAGTCGATGACTTTAACTATCACGCCATACGTTCTACACAATTTCATTGTTAAAGGTTTTACATACAATGCACTCGAGCAAATCTGGTAATATTTGAGGTTACAAGGTACCTTTGGATTCTTCGATTTATTTATATTACATTCGTTTCTTGTTTTGTCTGTACCAATCGTTGCTTTAGGCTTCCATTGCGTTAGACGATCCTTAGGCTCTTTTTGACGCCGGTCGAAAGCCTCATCGCGTGCCACTATGGATGACGCTGCGTCGTTTCGACTTTGCCTTAAATTTGCAGAAGACTCGAAGGGGACTCGCGTTTCCTCTTGTTACTTTTCACGAATTCATTTCTCTCTTCCTTTACGACAAAGACTGCCGCAAGAAGCGTTTCAATTTTCGAAGCTAGAAATTTCAATGTCTCAATTCTCGTCCGGCGTCTATCTAGAATTCGCATAATTCATGGTTGTGCGGATTTTCATGGAATACAAAATTATTACCCTCTCTTACGATATATGCATAACTGTACTGTACTGTAACTCTTAACTGTACAAGATTTACAACTTGTGTGTGTGAGAGTGCGAGAGAGAGAGAGAGAGAGTGAACAAAATAATAGTACGATTTACGCAGCCACAATAATGGCTTTCAGGCATTCGGCACTTCCTTTCAATTCGCCATTAAACCTTCACTTTCTCTTCTCGCGTATCGGCATGTCAGTCGTTCGCCATTTCTCACACACACACTGTATACTCGTAGAAGAATAGAATCCCAGGTATCTCACAAGGATACTCCTCAGTGTTCTCTACCTGAGTCGAAACTTCTCCAACGGCTTTTCATAATTTTGAATCCGGAGGCCATTTTCCTTACCGCTACGGACTCCGAGCATTCAGGACTCTCCGTAGGAGGAGCTACCTGACCGCGGGAATGTTACCTCGGGTCCACCACGTGACGTATTTTCGTTTTATTTTTAACTCCGTACGTGGCACCGTGTTTGCGTTCGCGCGGCTTTTCTTCGCGTCCAAGGTCTCGGACGAGAAGCGTCAGACTAGCTACGCCAAAGATAAATATCAAGACACACGAAATATGTATCCTCTCGGCCACGTCCTCCTTACCTGCCATCTTCTTTTACCGGTTACTTCCTAGAGGATACATAATATCTTTCACCATCTTGGTTTACGACCCTTTTGATTCGTGGACGGTTCTTCACGAACCGTGCCTCGTCCAATTAAGTGCAATTGACCGACAACCGGCTGCCCAATCTCGAGACCCTGCTCCTCCCCTCCTACTCCTCCTCCCTCTGTCCATCAGCGTCCCTCTCATCGTCTCTCTTCTTCGGATCTTCTTGATCGAGCGCACCCGTCGAAAGACTCTCTCTCTCTCTCTCTCTCTCTCTCTCTCTCTCTCTCTCTTTCTATCCCTGCTATCGACGCAGTCAGCAGCTTGCGAGCTGCAACGCGTAATCCAATTGAAGGAAATCAATATTCGTCTGCATCTGAATTGACTGCATTCCCCGCATGAAACACGAGTAACTGGTAAAAGTTCAACGTCATTTCCCACGGTGCGCCGGGTGTTTGCTGAAGAGAGA